TAATTCAATTTTTCATGATTATTTTCTCTCAGATCATATGATCTTAGATGGGGAACTACTACTTACAGAAAGATGTAAGTGAACTATTTTGACTTTTTTTTGTTAGTTTTTGCTTTTTTTTTAATTTTTTTTATATTTTTGGTATTTTGTTAACATGGGGGAAAGCACAAAACATAAAAATAAAAATAAATTAAGCCCTTGCTCAAATCTAATTGTTTAGTTGTTAAATGATCTATTACTTTTTGTCAATAGCTTTTAATATACAAAATGAGATTCTAAAATTCAAATTTCACTAATAGTTCCTTTGAACCTCCTTGAGAATTTCAACCTAATCCCTTTCATCTCTCTCCATGAAATACTTTATACTGTGAAGACTAAACACTCTCTTTGTGTGATCACACAGATTATTGAAGGCACTATTTGTTGAAAACGGCCAAGAAAACAAGACGTGCACAGTAGGAGGCTCATCGGTCGACTGATCGGGTCTGATCGGTCGACCGATTAGACCGCTAGAAGATTACATGATTTTCGGGACGGTCGACTAATGCATTTGATCAGTCGACCGATAAACATGCACAAGTAGGAATTGAAGCCGATCGGTCGACCGATGCACCCCTATCGGTCGACCGATAGCGGGTAAAACGGGTAAATCTGTTCCTAGCTTGTTTTGGATTTGGTTTTGATATAAATAGAAATATATGTTTCTAGGGTTTTGAGAGAGTTGTTAACCAGAGAATTAGCATTGTTTTGAGCACTTTGTGAGGGAGATTATTGTGAGGGAGTGTAAGATCATTGGTTGAATTGTTTTTTAGAGTTGTTTGAGAGATTGTAACCCGTTATTTCCCCTCCATATAGTAAAATCTTCCTATCATCTTCCCGTGGACGTAGGCAATTGCCGAACCACGTATATCTCTGTGTTTGGATTGATTTGTACCATATTTTGGTGAATTTGCACTCGTGTTTGTGTTTGGTTCTTCTCTTATCGCTTGCCGACTCGTTTGGATTGCGAGCACGCTTCCGCACAACGCGAAAAAAAAACAGGGTACGTAAGTTCATAGTCGTGAAAACTACAAGCTATTTAAGTGATATTTTGCTTTTCTTAAATAAAAATTCTCAAATTTCAAGCACACCAACCCATCACGCATGGCTGCTTGACTTTTCAATATTCTCTTTGGGTCTTCTTAATGAAATAGCTCTGTACGCATTATAAAGCGTTTCAGTTGTTAAAAGCTTCTATAGCTTTTTTTTTATTTTTTATTTTTATTTATTTTTTATGAAAGGAGCTTATAGTTCTTCAGCACAAATCTTAGGTCACTGGAAATATCCTTATTCGAGGAAATATCAACATCCATATTTGTCAGAATACGAATATGTTTGTTAAAACATAAAACCAATAGTACACGATTATGGATATGTTATGTACTGAAATATTCAGATCCATATCTAAAATATTCGAATATATATTGGTCATACTGTTGAAATAGCTTCAATCCTTAGATTAATGAATTTGAGGTTAATTTTGATGATCAAAATATTTAAACTTGGCTTTTCAAAACCATATTAATGAACTCTCTTGTACCATATAAACTGTATTTTTTTTTAATATTATCTAGTTTTCTCATATCCGTTTTGTATCCGCTTATATGTTTGGAAGCATTTATACATGTCTGCATTCAATTTTAGCGGGCATAGATGTGAATTTTCCTTACTCAGGCATATACATATTCGTATCCGCGATTAGTAAGCGGATGCGGATACGATAAACATCGTATCTGAGTCATATCCAGTGCATCTCTACTCGCCGGCCATTTGCTTTTGACATGACATGAAAAAAAAAATGAAATATAGTTTGTAAATCTTTAATTGCAGATGTGAAGCTGTACCTAAGAAAATGTTGAAATCAAACAGGCCTTTAACCGCAACTTGTAATCAAACAGGTCTTAAGCGAAAATTTCGGAATTAAGTGGGATTAATTGGCCACAAGAAATTTCTTTCTACTTCCCTAGATTGTCCTGTTATGCTATTTATCCTTAGTGTGGGCCAACACACGTTAATTGTTTTTGGAATATTGAGGAGATGACTCGAAGACCCTGCAAACGTCAAGCGGAAGCCTTGAGTAAACGGTAGCGGCTTTGAATGGTTGCCAAGCGGAGAGTTCTTCACGAACCGCAAGTTGTTTGGGCACCGACATCCATGGGTGTACTGAGGATTCCAACTCTCTTTCTTCAGTCCCTACTCATACGCTTCATTTCGTTTGGATCCCACACCTCATTTGCAAGCGATTTCACAAGACCAGACCATAACCTCTAAGGGGATCTGAACGTCTCACTTTACTGGAACGATTGAAGGAACTCTTTACGAGTTTTAAGAACTCAGAACAAGTTCAAACTCTATGCAAAGAGTTGTTTGAACCGTAAATCGGTTAATAGCCAAGCATCAAATCCCCCATAGATTTTCTGTTGCTAAAGAAATCTTCAAGATCTTTGCTGAACTCTAGATCCGAAAAATGCTCAAAGATCCCCAAGATCCCAAAAGATAGCCCCTCCTAACTAAACTGATTTTTTGAGTTATTTATAGGGGATTAATGGGTGTAAACGCCCCCTTAATTCGCTCCTTTGTGGGGCTTATGGGATATAACCGTCTCTTAAATCACTCCTGAGTGGAGTTGTGATCCCCTCAGATCGTGGGAAACGGTTTTGAAATCGTTCAGCTCGTATTTGAACGAGTCAAACACAAGAATTGCGTTCTGTCATGAATTCTGCGTTCAAATACAGTGTCTGGAAGCTCGTTTGTAGCTTGTTGGAAGCTGCGTTGGCAGCATTTAAGAGCTGCGTTTGGCAGTGGATGAGAGCTGCGTTGGCAGCTTTTGGAGACTGCGTTTACGGTCGAACATGAACTACTTTGGCAGCGGATGGAAGCTGCGGTGGCAGCTTTTGGAGGCTGCATTTGCGGCCGAACATGAGCTACGTTGGCAGCTGGATATGAGCTGTGTTTGCAGCGTTTGGAGCTGAATGTGAGCTGTGTTTGCACCGCGTCAGCGGCTGTGAACGCGGTGCGTCTTGATGCTAGTACGCGGGGAAGACTTCCGCGTCTTAGTTTGAAGAGACCGTTAATTTGTAGTCTCTTTCTGTCAGAACGTTGCAAAGATCGTCATTTTGTAATCTTTGCTTTAGCTCTTTGACGAACATGAGCTACGTTGGCAGCTGGATATGAGCTGTGTTTGCAGCGTTTGGAGCTGAATGTGAGCTGTGTTTGCACCGCGTCAGCGGCTGTGAACGCGGTGCGTCTTGATGCTAGTACGCGGGGAAGACTTCCGCGTCTTAGTTTGAAGAGACCGTTAATTTGTAGTCTCTTTCTGTCAGAACGTTGCAAAGATCGTCATTTTGTAATCTTTGCTTTAGCTCTTTGATATGCGAGAGTCGTTAGATTGTTACTCCCGATGTTGATTGTGATGGCTGTTGATTAGAGCTTTCATCAGTTGTTGCGAAGGTTGTCAGATTGTAACCTTCATCGATCTACGTGAAAATTTTCAAATTGTAACCTTCTGGAAGCCGTCAAATTGTAACTTCCATCATCAGTATTTGATGAGGATAATCTATCTGTAGTAATTTTTAGACAACCTACAGGTATATTAGCTTCAAATATCACTCACCACAAGAAACAACCCAATATAATCAAATGAAATCAACATGGCAAATCAACAACCTGACAAAATAAAAAAAGGTTGATTTTCACCATCAATGCAATTTGATGAAGGAAAGCAGCAAAACCCAATAACAGTATCCAAAGCATTCGACAAATAAGATGACACAGCGAGAGAGAGACGTCACCTAAATTAGATCAAGTTTTGCGCCTGAGACGCTTCCTCAGCTTCTTTAGCTTGTGCTTGTTCATCTTTCTCTTCCTCTTCTTCTTCTTCGCACTATCAGCCCACATTGCCGGACCTCCGCCATCACCATGGTCGTCATCGGAGCCCATATTGGTGTCGTATAGGCCGAGCCCGTGAAGAGAAATTGGGTCCAGAGTAAAGCAATGGGGAAAAGATCGGTAAAATGTTTTGGGGTCTGGATTTGGGTTTGAGTCAGGGTTTTGGTGAAGGAACGGGGAAAATGGGGGATTTGAGAGATGAGTTTCGTTGAGGGATGTGAGGAGTCTAAATGGAGGAGAGGTGAATGATTATTTTCACTTTCTTGCCGCTCCGCCACTGTCGGCCGCCTCGGTCTTTTCCTCAGTTACCTCTGTGGTGGCTGATGCTGATGCTTGCCGCTCCGCCACTGTCGGCCGCCTCGGTCTTTTCCTCAGTTACCTCTGTGGTGGCTGATGCTGATGTCAGAGTTGCGGTCTTTTCCTCAGTTACCTCAGTTACCTCTTAGGTCACTAGAAATATCCTTATTCGAGGAAATATCAATATTCATACTTGTCAGAATACTAATATGGTTATTAAAACATATAACCAATAGTATACGAATATGGATATGATTATTAAAACATATAACCAATAGTGTACGAATATGGATATGGTTATGTACTGAAATATCCAGATCCATATCCAAAATATCAGAATATATATTGGTCATACTGTTGAAATAGCTATAATCCTTAGATTAATGAATTTGAGGTAAATTTTGATGATCAGGATATTTAAACTTAGCTTTTCAAAACCATATTAATGAACTCTCTTGTAGCATATAAACTGTATTTTTTAAAATATTATCTAGTTTTCTCATATCCGTTTTGCATCCACTTATATGTCCGCAAGCATATCCATGTCCGCATTCAATTTTAGCGGGCATAGAAGTGAATTTTCCTTAATTAAGGTATATCCATATTCGTATCCATGATTAGTAAGCGGATACAGATATGATAAACACCATATCTGAGTCATATCCGGTGCATCTCTACCCACCGGTCATTTGCTTTTGAAATGACATAAGAAAAATATGAAATATAGTTAATTGCAGATGTGAAGCTGTACCTAAGGAAATGTTGAAATCAAACAGGCCTTTAACCGCAACTTGTAATCAAACAGATCTTAAGCGAAAACTTCGGAATTAAGTGGAATTAATTGGCCGCAAGAAATTTCTTTCTACTTCCCTAGATTGTCCTCTGTTATGCTATTTATCCTTAGTGTGGGCCAACACACGTTAATTGTTTTTTGGAATATTGAGGAGACTCGAAGGCCCTGCAAACGTCAAGCGGAAGCCTTGAGTAAACGGTGGCGGCTTTGAATGGTTGCATAGTGGAGAGTTCTTCACGAACCGCAAGTTTTTTGGGCACCGACGTCCATGGGTGCTCCGAGGATTCCAACTCTCTTTCTTCAGTTCCTACTCGTCCGCTTCATGTCGTTTGGATCCCACACCTCATTTGCAAGCGATTTCATCTCTTCCGACCGACCCCTGTCACAAGACCAGACCATAACCTCTAAGGGGGACAAATTCGTGCTCGACGTCGACAGTGGTCTTATTCGTATTTATCGCGGAAATGACTATTGTGAGGGGTGTCAAGTTTGGGCATCAAACAGCGAAACACCAGTCTACGTTGCACCTGAGCTCAGAATCAGTGATGACGGCAACCTAGTCCTTTTAGATCAATCCAACCTACAGCAAGTTTGGTCTACAAATATAGAATCAACTGCCTCTAATTCCACAGTTGCTGTGCTTCTAGACTCAGGTAACCTTGTTCTTAGAGACGGGTCGGATCCGAGTAAGATATTTTGGCAGAGCTGTGATCACCCAACCGATACTTGGCTTCCTGGTTGCTACTTGGGTTTTAATAAGGTCACAGGGGAGAACCGTCGCCTCACTTCTAGCGGCGATGAGTCTTCTCCTGGAGTGTTTTCCCTTGAGGTAGACGCTGGCCAGCTTCTCATAAAGTCGAATGAGTCTAAGAAGTATTGGTCTGGTGGGAACTTGACTGATGGCGTGCTTAGCTCCGCGCCAAATTTCAGCCGGTTTGCCGAATTTGAGTACATTTCTAATGAAACAGTGAATTATTTTACCTATTCGTTGAGATATAGCCAGACCTTTGGGGTGTTTAGATTGGACAATTCAGGAGTAATGGAGCAAATTCTCCTAGCTGATGATCCTGTGGCATTGAGTCCGTCCTCCGATCCACCAGATCAGTGTGGTAATCCGGCCTTTTGTGTGGGTTCTGCAGAGATGAAGAAGTCCAACAACATGAGCAGAGTCGTTACTTTTGTTATTCTTGGTTCAGTTTTAGGTTCCATAGTTTGTTTAGTTGTTATTTTCAAAATGGTCTGGATATGGAAAAAGCGAGGTAGGATGCACAAGATGAAGTCGGACAATGGTACTCTGGTGGCATTGAGATATAGAAAGTTGAAAGAAATGACTAATGACTTCTCTGAGAGACTCGGTGGTGGCGGCTTCGGTTCTGTTTTTAAAGGGATGCTACCTGATTCCGCAATTGTCGCTGTAAAGAAGCTCGAAGGCGTTCTTCAAGGAGAGAAGCAGTTCCGAAGCGAGGTGAGCACAATTGGAGTGATACAACATGTTAACTTGGTCCGTCTTCTTGGATTTTGCTCAGAAGGTACTAACAAATTGTTGGTTTACGAGTACATGCCAAATGGTTCTTTAGACTTCCACTTGTTTCGTAACACTGATACTGTTCTTGACTGGAAGATGAGGTACAAAATTGCCCTTGGAACTGCTAGAGGGCTATCTTATCTCCATGAAGAATGTAGGGACTGCATCATTCACTGTGACATTAAGCCAGAGAACATACTGTTGGATGCATTATTCGTACCAAAAGTAGCTGATTTTGGTCTGGCGAAGAATGTCAACCGCAACTTCAACAGTGTATTGACTACACTGAGGGGAACTATTGGCTATCTTGCTCCCGAATGGTTATCAGGAGGTTCTATAACTGCGAAAGCTGATGTGTACAGTTACGGGATGTTGCTACTTGAAATTATATCTGGTAGGAGAAACACGCAGCGATCTGAAGACGGATATTATTTCCCTGTATTGGCAGCAAACAAAGTTGTGGAAGGGGATGTCCTTAGCATTCTAGATCCTAGACTGGAGGGAAATGCTAACTTGGAAGAGCTCGACAGGGCCTCTCGGGTTGCTTGTTGGTGCATTCAGGACAATGAGGTCGACAGGCTTTCAATGGGAGAGGTGGTTCAAATTCTAGAGGGTGTTGTTGAGGTTAACAGGCCTCCTATACCGAAGCTGCTTCAAGCTTTAGCTGAGAATATAGAAAGTATAATTTACTTCTCAGATGGCAAAGAAGAGCACTTTGACGAGGACATATCGGCCAGACCTCTATAATTTCAAGTGATGGATGATCTGTGTGCTTCTTCCTCTATTTTCACTCATGTAAGTTTGTAAGTCTTATACTTTCTGTCGTCTCGTAAACAACTGTCAGTTTCTCCACTACTGTTTCGGAGGTTTATGCTATGCAAAATTTTCCAAAAACAGTTGCAACTTCAAATAAAATTATTCTCAATTCTTACTAGACAAGTAGGTTTATAACTAAACATAAGAGCTTCTCTCGTCTTATATATGTTTATCAAAATATACTACTTTTCGTAGATTATGCTGTTATCTAAAAACATTTAGATTTATAAATCTGCCTAAGAAAATTTCTGATAGGTAGCATGTCTAACCTTCGCATAATTAATGTTGGGGATATATCAGATACCCTTTGACACCCGTTCTGCGGAATTGCCCTACCGGATCTTGTGTTAAGCAATGGAAAAAAGAAACCACAGCAAAACAAAAATTACAAGAAAAAGAACACCGAGTTTTAACGAGGTTCGGCAATTTGCCTACGTCCTCGGGAGCCACACAAATAATTTTCTTTATATCAAAAGAAGATTACAAAGCTTGTAAAGAGCAAATCTCAACTTGAGATTTCTCAAAAAAAGAAGAACGAACAGAAACACTGTTGTTCAAATAAAAGGCGCGAGATTTTACAACAGTAAAATCTCCTCTCTCTCTTCAATAAATCGCTACAGGAACTTAGGAATTTTTCTCTGAAAAATTCCTAGATGAAAACCCTCCTTGATGGCCGCCGCCTCTGGAGTTTAATGCTCTGAAGAAAATCAAAGGGGACAGCTGCTCTCGTGCTCAGGGTTTCCCTTAAATAGGGAAACCCTACCCAACAGCTGGATCCAACCGACGCAGGCGGAGAGAAGAGGGGGAGGCGATCTTTGATTTCGCCAGACTCAGCCACGCTCGCCTGCGAGGCTTTTTCTCAACCTCGCCTGCAATCGAAATCCGCCTGCAGCCCTCTCTCCTCTCGAGTTCGCCTACAGTATCTCGCGTCGACATCGCCGGTAGAATCCCGACTTCGCCTGCAGCAAGCGCCCACTTCGAGCTCGCCTGTGGAAACCCCAAACTCGCCTGTAGCAGTCGATTTCGCCTGTCGACTCAGATCTCGCCTGTAATCCGCCGTCGATTGGACTTCGCCCGAAGTCCCCATGACCTGGAGCTCGCCTGAGCTGATCAACGTCGCCGGAGCTCGCCTCGTTTCGCCGCTGACAAGGTATGGACTACACCCCATTTTCCAACAATCTCCCACTTGGAGACCAAACCGCCATCAGCAAGCTCTTTCTTAACAAGCATCTTCTCCTGTGTGGCTCCGCCCTCATCTCTTATATATGAAGGCCAACTGAAGTTGCGCACAACTCCAGTTTCTGAATGGTGACTGCCTTAGTCAACATATCTGCAGGATTTTGGCTCCCCAAAATCTTCTCTAACTGTAACTTCCCGTCCTCAATCATCGAGCGTATGAACTGGTAACGTAACTCGATGTGCTTCGTTCTGGCATGAAACACTGGGTTCTTGGCAAGGTGTATAGCACTCTGGCTATCACAATAAAGAACTTCGTTCCCCCGCTTCAGACCCAACTCATCCAGGCACCCGGTTAGCCAAATCATCTCCTTGCTCGCCTCTGTCACTGCGACATACTCTGCCTCAGTTGTGGACAATGTCATAATCTTCTGCAAATGTGAGACCCAGCTCACTGCTGTTGACTCTAAGGTATAAACATACCCCGTGGTGCTTCGCCTTGTATCATGATCACCGGCAAAATCTGAATCTACGTATCCCTGCAATACCAACTCTTTTCTTCCGAAACACAGCGGCATATTCATAGTCCCTCTCAGATATCGCAATATCCACTTCACGGCCTCCCAATGCTGCTTCCCTGGGTTGCTTACAAATCTGCTCACAACTCCCACTGCATGGGTAATATCCGGCCTCGTGCAAACCATTGCGTACATCAGACTACCAATGGCTGATGAATACGGCACCTTCCTCATGTGCTTCTTCTCTGCATCGGTCTTGGGTGATTGTTCACCAGATAACTTGAACTGGCTTCCAAGGGGCGTGCTAACAACCTTAGCATTCTGCATGTTAAATCTCTGAAGTACCTTCTCAATGTATTCAGACTGACTCAACTTCAACATCCCCTCAGCCGCATCCCGGCTGATCCGCATCCCAAGAATCTGCTTCGCTACACCCAGATCCTTCATGGCAAACTCCTTTGCTAACTGCTTCTTCAGCTTGTTTATCTCCTGTAAACACAGTCCTGCAACTAACATGTCATCGACATACATCAATAACACGATATAGCTGGACTCGAACCTCTTGAAGTAACAGCAATGATCTGAATTGCATCTGACATAGCCATTGCTCTACATGAAGTCATCAAACTTCTTATACCACTGTCGTGGAGCCTGTTTCAATCCGTATAAGCTCTTCTTGAGCCTACACACCATCTCTTCCTTTTCTTCCTCAATGAAACCAACATGTTGCTTCATGTAGATTTCTTCATCCAAGTCGCCATGAAGAAAGGCAGTCTTCACATCTAACTACTCAAGGTAGAGATTTTTAGCAGCTACCAAGCTCAACACCATTCTGATGGTTGTGAGCTTCACAACGGGGGAAAATATCTCCCTATAATCCACTCCATCCCGCTGTTGGAACCCCTTCACGACTAATCTGGCCTTGTATCTCTTCCTTCCATCACTCTCCTGCTTGACTTTGGAACCCCTTCACGACTAATCTGGCCTTGTATCTCTTCCTTCCATCACTCTCCTGCTTGACTCGGTAAACCCACCCTTCCATCACTCTCCTGCTTGACTCGGTAAACCCACTTGTTATGTAAGGCCTTCTTCTGTGCAGGTAGCCGGGCTAATTCCCATGTCTCATTCGAGTAGAGAGAATCCATCTCTTCTTACATTACATGCTCCCACTGCTAAGATTCGCTCACTTGCATAGCCTCCTCATAGCATTCTGGTTCTCCGCTATCTGTTAAAAGTAGGTAGTCTAGTGACGAGAGATACCTGGGATTCGGTTTGGGTACCCTGGATGACCTCCTAAGCTCCTCTCCCTGGGTAGTCGGTTCTGCGACTGGAGTCTCCTCTATTCTTTGGTCAGAATCGACGTTGTCTCCCCCATCTGGAAATTCCTCCAAGTCCATGTACTCGGATGCGTCCGTATCCGTAGTGCTGTTCCCACTGCTTTGGCCCGCCTTTGCATTGTCTCTGTCCTTGTACATCACTTCCTCATTGAATATGACGTCTCGGCTTCTGATGATTTTCCTGTTCTTCTCATCCCACAGACGATACCCGAACTCATCAATGTCGTACCCAATGAATGTACACTTCAATGACTTAGCTTCTAGCTTGTCCCTGACATGGTCACTAATGTGGACATATGCCACACACCCAAAAACTCTTAAGTGTGAGAGATTAACTTTCTTACCACTCCAAACCTCTTTCGGAATCTCAAAGTTCAATGGAACTGATGGTCCGTGATTTATCAAGTACGCTGCTGTATGCACCGCGTCCGCCCAAAAAAATTTTGGTAGACCTGCATGTAGACGCATGCTCCTCGCACGCTCTGTCAGCGTTCTATTCATTCTTTCTGCTATGCCGTTCTGTTGCGGCGTCCCTGGAGTAGTCCTCTCCAAACGAATCACGTTCAGAGCACAGAACTTCTTGAACTCCTCCAAATTATATTCTCCGCCATTGTCTGATCTCAGACACTTCACTTTCAGGTCTGTCTCGTACTCCACCATGGCTTTCCACTTCTTGAAGATGTTGAACACCTCCGACTTGTGCTTCATGAAGTATACCCACACCTTCCTCGAGTGATCGTCGATAAAGGTGACGTAATATGCCGAACCGCCAAGAGAAGACACGCTAGCTGGACCCCATACGTCTGTATGAATAAGCTCTAGGTTGTGAGCTTTAGGTGGTCTTCCACCCTTCAGAAAACTAACTCTCTTCTGCTTCCCAAAGATGTAGTCTTCGCAAACACCGACTTCCACCGAATCGATGCCGGTTAGCTTCCCTTCTGAGTGAAGAATCTTCATACCCTTCTCACTCATATGTCCCAGCCTATTGTGCCACAGATTTGCACTCTCATTGCCTGTAGCAATCGCGAGGGTGTCACTCGCGTGTGAAGTTAGGTAGAGGGTACCGGTCTTGTTGCCTCGGGCAACCACCATTGTACCGTTGGAGATTTTCCACGAATCTCCGGTGAATGTTGTAACATAGCCTTCTGCTCCGAGCTGGCCAACCGAAATAAGATTTTTCTTCAACTTCGGTACGTGTCTGACGTTCTTCAGATACCACTTGGAGCCCTTCAACTTTATTTGCACGTCACCTCTTCCAATGACACTACAGGGTTCATTATCCCCCAAGTATACTTTTCCAAAGTCCCCTGCTACATAGTTCTGAAATAGCCTTCTATTAGCAGTGGCGTGGAATGAGGCTCCCGAATCAATAACCCATGAATCGGAATCGCTATCCATAGCGAGAATCAGCGCATCTTGCACAATATGAGCCTCCTGCTCATTTTTCTTCGGTTCTTTACAAGTAGAAGACATGTGGCCCTCCTGGCCCCAGTTCCAACATTTCCCCTTGATAGGTCTCACCTTCGAGTTCGACCTCTTCTTCTTCGACTTCGATCGATTCCTATTTTGGTTCCCCTTATTATGGCTTCTGCCTCTCTGCTCGAGACTTAGGGCTGAACCTGAACCTTCTGATTCATTTGATTTTCTTCTAACCTCCTTGGATAGAATCATAGCTACCACCTCCTTCAGCTTCAACTTCTCCTTCTCTGCCGAGTTGCTGATTGCGGTCACGCAACCTGCCCAACTATCCGACAACTGCGATAGTATTAATAGGGCCTGCACTTCGTCATCAAACTTGATGTCGACTGAGATAAGTTGATCAACAATCGTGTTGAACTCGCTGAGATGCATCGTGAAGGAACATCCTTCTGTCATCTTGAGGTTGAATAGCGTCTTGACGAGATGCACCTTATTTGAAGCTGACGGTTGCTCATACATCGTTGCGAGCGCTTCCATAAGCCCCTCTGTCGTCTTCTCCTTTAATATATTGTGTGCTACAGATTTTGCGAGGGCCAATCGGACCTGCCCCAAGGCTTTTCGATCCAATATTTCTCAGTCCTCGTCGGATTCTTCTTTCTTCTTTCCTTTTGCTTTACCCATCAACGGACGGTAAAGATCCTTCTGGTACAGATAGTCTTTCATCTGTGACTTTCAGTAGGCGAAGTCTGATCCGTCAAACTTCTTAATTTTTGATTTGCCTTCTTCTGCCATTTCTTACACACACAGATCTGAACAAGAGCTTTGATACCAATTGTTGGGGATATATCAGATACGCTCTGACACCCATTCTGCGGAATTGCCCTATCGGATCTTGTGTTAAGCAATGGAAAAAAGAAACCACAGCAAAACAAAAATTACAAGAAAAAGAACACCGAGTTTTAACGAGGTTCGGCAATTTATCTACGTTCTCGGGAGCCACACAAATAATTTTCTTTATATCAAAAAAGAAGATTACAAAGCTTGTAAAGAGAAAATCTCAACTTGAGATTTCTCAAAAAAAGAAGAACGAAAGGGATTTTTCTCTGAACTTAGGAATTTTTCTCTGAAAAATTCCTAGCTGAAAACCCTCCTTGATGGTCGCCGCCTCTTGAGTTTAATGCTCTGAAGAAAATCAAAGGGGGCAGCTGCTCTCGTGCTCAGGGTTTCCCTTAAATAGGGAAACCCTACCCAACAGCTGGATCCAACCGACGCAGGCGGAGAGAAGAGGGGGAGGCGATCTTTGATTTCGCCAGACTCAGCCACGCTCGCCTGCGAGGCTTTTTCTCAACCTCGCCTGCAATCGAAATCCGCCTGCAGCCCTCTCTCCTCTTGAGTTCGCCCACAGTATCTCGCGTCGACCTCGCCGGTAGAATCCCGACTTCGCCTGCAGTAAGCGCCCACTTCGAGCTCGCCTGTGGAAACCCCAAACTCGCCTGTAGCAGTCGATTTCGCCTGTCGACTCAGATCTCGCCTGTAATCCGCCGCCGATTGGACTTCGCCCGAAGTCCCTATGACCTGGAGCTCGCCTGAGCTGATCGACGTCGCCGGAGCTCGCCTCGTTTCGCCGCTGACAAGGTATGGACTACACCCCAATTTCCAACAATTAACAATATGATTTTGATGTAGAATGTATATGTGAAACTGTGCAGTTATTGTTATTACTGCTATATAGTCTTCTTAAAAACCCTGTAAGCTTGAAATTCTTTCAAAGGCTCATCCTTCTGCATCAAATTAAGGAAAACTGCACAGAATACCTCAATGTTTTGCGTTCTTAATTCTTCCAAGGACTCTTCCATTCAGCCAATGAAGTCTGTCATGGCATCCATCAATCTGTGAGTTCTAGAGTTCCGGTTGTCTCTTTATTTCTATATGTTTCTTACTACTTCCTTATTATCAGTATACTCTGCATATTTTTTTTTTCTGCATGATTTTTTTTATCTATTTCTGTCTCAGAATGAACAACAGTCATTTTCTGGAAGTTTATCATTTTGATTGTATTGTTCCATCATGTGCGCCTTCTGATGGTTTGTCTTCTGGATGAATTACTACTACCCTTTAGAAAACAAAAACGCCATTGAAGTTGTTTATATAGTTTTGCTTGCAATTGCTCATTGAAGAAAATTAATGTAAATTGAAGATAGTAAGTTTCCACCATCTATTTACCCAGTGTTCTTCATTTTTGCAGTATATGTGAAAAACAATATTAAGAATCATCTTTTTATTTTCAATCAAACTAAACTATTTTTTGGTTTTCATATTTGTTAGAAACTAGATTGTTGTTGCAGTTTTAGTAGCAAAGAAGAGATCCGATTTGAGCTTATGGACAGATCATTGTTTTTTTACTGTATTTTCAGGATATTGAAAAGATATTTCTTGAAAAATTTATGCTGGAATTTTCAATATCTTTCTTGTTTTGAAATACTGCAAAACTTCAATAGAAAACTGCAGTTGTGCAGTCGAAAAGACTGCGTTTCTGCCGTTAGGAAAACTGTAATATCGCTGTTCGAAAACTGCAGTGAACTGCATTCTCAAGGCCTAGCTATAAAAGGGTAGAATTGGTGCATGTTTGAGAAAAAAGAGTAGAGGGAAAGAAAGAAAGCTTTCTTTGATTTCTTGTAGATTCGGCGAAGGATTTGGTGAAGAACAGGTTTTGGAAGCAGGGAGTGTTTTTTGGCGGCGTGCGGTCGACCGCGGTGTAAGGCCGGTCGACTGTATTCGTGCACGGACCCTGGGCTTGATATAGGTCTTGTATTGTTCCATCATGTGCGCCTTCTGATGGTTTGTCTTCTGGATGAATTACTACTACCCTTTAGAAAACAAAAACGCCATTGAAGTTGTTTATATAGTTTTGCTTGCAATTGCTCATTGAAGAAAATTAATGTAAATTGAAGATAGTAAGTTTCCACCATCTATTTACCCAGTGTTCTTCATTTTTGCAGTATATGTGAAAAACAATATTAAGAATCATCTTTTTATTTTCAATCAAACTAAACTATTTTTTGGTTTTCATATTTGTTAGAAACTAGATTGTTGTTGCAGTTTTAGTAGCAAAGAAGAGATCCGATTTGAGCTTATGGACAGATCATTGTTTTTTTACTGTATTTTCAGGATATTGAAAAGATATTTCTTGAAAAATTTATGCTGGAATTTTCAATATCTTTCTTGTTTTGAAATACTGCAAAACTTCAATAGAAAACTGCAGTTGTGCAGTCGAAAAGACTGCGTTTCTGCCGTTAGGAAAACTGTAATATCGCTGTTCGAAAACTGCAGTGAACTGCATTCTCAAGGCCTAGCTATAAAAGGGTAGAATTGGTGCATGTTTGAGAAAAAAGAGTAGAGGGAAAGAAAGAAAGCTTTCTTTGATTTCTTGTAGATTCGGCGAAGGATTTGGTGAAGAACAGGTTTTGGAAGCAGGGAGTGTTTTTTGGCGGCGTGCGGTCGACCGCGGTGTAAGGCCGGTCGACTGTATTCGTGCACGGACCCTGGGCTTGATTCAGGTCTTGGTGCGGTCGACCGCCGTGGTCGACCGCCAGACCCTGTAATCCAAACCCGAGAGTCTGGAGTTGGGTGCGGTTGACTGCCGCGGTCGACCGTCGATGCCTGCAGTTGTTTTTGGGGCTCTGTTGTTTGTCGCGGTCGACCGTGACAGTCGACCGCGTATCGGGTCTGGCCCAATTTGCAGTTTCCTGTTCTGATTTGGATTGGTGTTTAGTATAAATACCAACACATGTTTTAGGGTTTCTTTGGCTTTGATTGGGATTGTTTTGGGGATATTTGAGGCACAGAAAAGAGAGATCTTTCTGAGCTATTGGTTAGGGTTATTGATTGAGAGATTGAGAGCTTTGTTGGTGAGATTAGTTGGTTTGTTTTGAGTGATTTGTAATCTTAGTTTGTACTCTCCTTCTCTATTAGTGAAAACACATCCCCTTCTTGCCCCGTGGACGTAGGCAACTACTCGAACCACATAAAATTAGTTGTTTATGTTTGTGTCATTATTTTGCATTGTTTGGTCTTTTTTCTCGGCGTTTGGTTTGGTTCCTCGAAGCACAACGATTGGTGGCTTCCGCGCACAACATTTCTATCTCCCTCAAGAGACAATCTCCTGTAAATCCATCTTTAATCTCCTGTACATCTATCTTTGTCTCTATGTTGATGAAGTTTTGGATTAATCCTTTTGGATTAATCCTTTGGCCTGCAATCAGAGATCATTACAGAGTAATCTTGACCTGAATTATCTTGGGAGGCAAATTTATGCTAACCCTTGCATATTCCGAGCATATATTGTCCTAAAGACAAAGCGAAAGCAAGCCCCTCGATTTAGGTGTTGAAACATAACTTTGAAGTCCACTACGAACAAGCCCAATTTCTAAATATATACTCACACACACATAAAATTTCTTTACTGTTTTGAGCTTACTATTATGAGTGAAAGTTACTAAACAAGTCGATGCAGACCAACTTTTGGAAAATTTGAGGCTAAAGTCGAAAACTTGTCTCATTGGAATAGTCCTATGTCAGGAAGGCGGGAGACTAGAGATGTAGGTAGTTTTAGAGAGTGGTGAGTAGTTGTTGGGTGGTGGGTAGTTACGTTTAGGCGGTTGTAGGGGTTGGGCTATATATTTGTTTGTTGTAATGTTGTATGTGGTTAGGAATCAGAATTGTTATCACAGTCATCTCCGTGTGTCTCATCTTCTTCCTCTTCTCTATTCTGACCTCGTCTGTTCTGTTCTCTCTCGGGTTCATCTGTTTCTTCTTCCCTCTTTTCCTGTTTCTGTCTCAATTCTCTCCTAGAACCATGGCTGGGCGAGGCAATGGCCGAGGTCGAAGTTTCAGCCCCTGACATCCTAATGCATCTAAAACTAGAGAAATTAGTTTTTGGATTAGATATTTGATTTTGACTTCGGGTTGGACGTATACTTGAATGTAGACATAGATGCTGGATTTTATTTTAGGATACGTTATTAGATTTGAAGTTTGATTTTGGGTTTTATTATATAAATAAATGCCTTGTAAATTTAAGATCTTAATGGCAATTGGTTTCATTTGTGATGAAAACCCCAACGCTATTGATATTGACTAAAAAAGAAACCCAATGGTTTGTGTTGTGCACCTCTTCATGAGCCCACCTTTGTATATTTCTTACTACTTCGACATTTATGGTATTGGTATTGACTACATGATTTATTTTTATTTTATTTTAGGCTAAATATCATAACCCCACCCCACCCCACCCCCCTCTAAGGCTTTACTTTGGATGATTATCAGAAAACCGCCCTTACCTTTCAAAATATTAGAAAACCCCCCTTCAGCTCTGGGGTTATCAGAAAACCCCCTTTAACATTGAGATTTTATTGGAAAACCCCTCTAATTTAAGGGAGTTTTCTAAAAAACCCTAAAAGTTAAAAGGGGTTTTTTGATAAAATCTTAAAGTTAAAAGGGGGTGGTGGTTTTGTGATAATCCCTATACTTAAGCGGGGCTTTCTGATATTTCAAAAGCTAAGGGTGGTTTTCCGATAATTGTTCAAAGTTAAGGGGTCTTTTTTATATTTACCCTTTATTTTATTTTTATTATTTTTTTGCCTGCTTTTGTGTATAAACAATAGTCATTTTACATTTTAAGAAGTACATCATTTTCATCGTGTTATCCCACCATGTGTAATAACTGTTTTTTGTCAATTTGATGAATTAATAAAACCATCTTACAGATCAAAATTATATTGGAAGTGTTTTTTTTAGTTTTGCTTGTATTTGCTTGTGCAGAATTAGTATAAAATAAAGATAGTAAACTTGTGTCTAGATATGACGCGGATATCCTGATTTCTTCAGTATATGGCATACACAACTTTGAGAATCATCTTTTTATTTGTTCAGTTGATTTAAACTTTTATTTGGGTTTCATATTCGTTACCAACTAGGAATTGTTGTTGTAGTTATAATAGCAATATTTAATTTGAAACTGTCATCCTTTTGTAAGAGCGTCAGAGATGTGTGTCCATGTGTATGTGTGTGCACCTACATCTACCTGTATGTGCACCTATGTCTGCATGTCTGTGCATGTTTGTTTGCGCGCCCGTGCGCGCGTGCGTGCAGGTTGGTGTGCTTTTGTGCATGTGCATTTGTGGAACTAGTGAGTGAGGGGCAGCTCATTTTACTAAATGAGAACCAAATTCATAGATTATTAGTGAAGCTCACCCTGCTTGTCGCATCAAAGCATATGGGCATTATGACTCATGTCTCTTGATAGCTTATTTTTCTAAATGAGGTGTATCTTTTCGATCCATATATGTATATCTGGAATATTCATGAAATTCGAATGTAAGACGTATTTCACTGAGAAGATATGAGAAAAATAAAATAGCTAAATAAAGAAGAAGAATTTTGACGACTTTCTAGATTAAAGAACATATACAAAGTTGTACTGATTGTAGGGGCTTAATTTTTAGCAAAATGATGAAATTGTGGGATGGTTTAATTGAGTAAAACCTAATAGAAGAAACATTTTTCTTTCAAAAATCTGTTTGGCTTATGCTGGGATTGAAAATGGAAGCTCTAAGTCTAACTTACTGGGACAATCTAAAGAAGGATCTATCAAGATAAGAGAAATGTATGTTCTTTTAAATATTTAAGTCAAATGTTTCTACGTTTTTGATGAATACGATCATAGTTCTCCTCCAAAAATAAAAAATGTCTGCAGATGTGATATATCGAGTATTAATTATGGATGACTTAATTCGACGAATACCATCATAATTCTCCTCCAAAAAGAAAAAAATGTCTGCAGATGCGATATATGGAGTACTAATTATGGATGACTTAATATTCATAATGATGGTACGCCTTTTTCGTGGTGCATAAGACTACAAAAAGAATAATTTCTATAAGTAAACAGGAGAAGCTTTGGAATCTGAAAGATTTAGGATTAGCAAGTTAAATGATGGAACATATGGAATGCAACTTTACGAAGATTGTGAGAAGAAACCAGGATGTAATTAGCATTGATAGGTAATAAACATCAAGGGTGATTATTTCACTACCTAAAATCACTAACAAGGTTGTGGAGGATGTTTATACAATCAGCAGAATGATCAACTGAGATGTCTTCTTAAGTAATTTTGCAGAGTTTGAAAGGGTGTCAGGACATTTGGTACCCAAGAAGAAAAAAAAAATATTCTGGCAAATGTGTCAGAATGTTGAGCACAATAGCTAGCATCAGATTTAACTCTTCCTCATCCTAAGACAGTTCAATAATGTGTTGTGTGCAATCATTTTGAAGCTGTTCTTTTCACAAGTCATCCCTGGAACTGCTTGTCTTGTATAGCATGGATCTTGGACAATCATGGCTACACTAGCACAGTGCAAGGTTTGAAATGTTCAGTAATCTGCTGCTTTACCACAAATGGCACCCGAACTTATTGTGGATTTTGTGAAAATTACCCTATAAATTTATGTGCAAGGTTGGTGCCTACTTTGATTGTTATTGTTTACACTGATGTGTGTTTTGTATGGACTGCTTCTATAACTGATTACATTGGATTATTGTTTTCCACCGTAAGTATTGTTTATGCTGATGTAAAATTGATAACAAGGTTGAGTATAACTTCAATCTTTCTTTCCATAAGATTTTGTATAGTGTGTTCTCTATTTCCCTTGATAAAGATTACAATAACTGCATCCCATTTATTATATGTTCCTCTACTCTCCTCCGTCCATTCCCCATAATTCATCCTGAATTACATTTGAATTTTACCGTTCTTTAACTTAAAAACACAGCTACATGATTAAAAGGAATGTGAATGTGGAATTATGTACATACCCAACAACAAAAAATGCATGTCCATCCAAATGGTAAGTCTGAACATTAGTTCCATTGTTCTGAAATATAATTTCCATAAATCCCTTGTATGAAGCATTCATTAGAGAAGTTCCAAGCTTTGGTGGCTCATCAAGTGGTTTTGTGGGGAAATCGAGTGTGTACACTCCCTTAAGGTTATACTGATCAGCGAGTCTTAGCGGTGTACTAGGCGGGGAATATGAAATCCCATTGAGAGTGGCTCTTTGTTTTCCGTTAATAGTAACTAGTGGTTTATTTTCTAACATGTAGACTTGTGTCACATTGATTGAACCGTATCTGAAAGATCCTTGAGGATTTGGGCGTGCAGCAGAAGCACTCACATTCCACCTGACCAATAACAAGCAGATCTCTCAGAACAAAGAATTTATATAAAAAAAGGATTACAAAAAATTGTCTGCATCTATACTCTGGTTTTCAAGAAAACCTCTCAGAATAAAGAAAACCTGTCATCTATACCCTGGCCATCGCAAGATCTCCTTATTTTAGCCTCTATTGGATAGAATCAATGACAAATTGCAAGGGTGGAAAAAAAAAATTCTTAGTCAGGCGGGCAGAATGATCCTCATAAGACATGCTTTATGTGAACACGTGAAATGCAAGTGGGGGCCACCATGTGAATTGTGAACACGTTGTGTTCTTTGCTTTAGTCCAGCGGAGAAAGAGGCCCATGTACCCGAAAGCATGGCCTATAAATACTTGTAGGCCTAGGGTTTCGTGCATGTGAGGGGGTGCAGGTGGGTTCATACAAAAGGCGGCTGAATTTTCTCTTTTGGATCAAGTACAGAGCAAAAAGGAGGTGCAGGCAGAAAATACCAGCAAGCAAAAAAAAAGAAGGGAAACTGCAGAAGTATTTTGCGGCTGGGTTTTGTGCAGGAGAAGCAGCAGTTGTGCAAGACTTTTGTGCAGTCCTTTTGTGTTTTGTAGAGAGATATTGTGAGGAATTTGAGAGTTTGTTTGAAGGTTTAGATTGAGTGATTGTAAACCCTAATTGTATCTCTCCCTCTAATAGTAGATCTCCCCCTCCTTGCCCCGTGGACGTAGGCAGTTTGCCGAACCACGTAAAATTGGTTTGTTTGAGTTTGTGGTCATTGTAATAGTTTTAGAATCCCTCGACAGGTCAGTCCTAGAACTGATGAGAGAAAGAGCCGATATCTCACTTTATTGAGATATCCGCTTCAGATTCTTGTTTCCTTGGTGAGACAGGAATTCTTATTGATCTTTCTCTCTTATTGTGCACCAGAAACTCTGCCGAAATTTTCGTTGCGCACAACAAGTGGTATCAGAGCCCAGATTCCAGATCTAGGGTTTGGTTGGAGGAGTAGATCAATTTGGAGGCTCGTCTAAGGCTTCGTTTGGTGATAAAGGTGGAATCTTTTGTGAAAGACTCTGTCTTTTCAGTTTTGGATCTATTCTTCGTTCGTTTGTGCGTAAGATGTCGGGGAAAGAAGGTGCTTCGGATGTCGAGGGTAGTGCTTCTGGCGCGAAGACCATTCAGAGTTTGAATATCCACTCTATGAAGATAGATGTGGAGAAATTTAATGGCACAAATAATTTTAGATTATGAAGATGCGAGGTTTTGGATGCGCTGAACGCTCAGAATTTGGAGGATACATTGGAGTTAGATGGCAAGCCAGATGACGTTGAAGAGAAGGTTTGGAAGAAAATGAATCGAACGCGTGTGGGGTGATTAGGTCTTGTTTAACTCAAGATCTAAAATATGATGTGATGAATGAGACTTCTGCAAAGAAGATTTGGGAGATTCTCGAAGACAAGTATTTAACCAAGAGTGCGAAAAATCGCTTGCATTTGAAGAGGAGGCTTTATCATTTCCAATTAAAGAAGGGAACCTCCATTAGATATCACATGAACCACTACACGAAGCTTCTTGCGGATTTGACGAATGTGGATGTCATAATTGAGGATGAGGACAAGGCGTTGCTGTTGTTGAGTTCCTTGCCCGACGAGAAATATGAGACATTCGTTCTTATTCTGATTAATGGGAAGGCATCTCTTTCGTATAGTGAGGTCACTGCTGCATTAGTGAATTATCAGCTTCGAAAGAAGGATAAGGAGGCTTCAGTTGAGCCGGTAGCAGAGGCGTTGGTCGCAAGAGGGAAGAATCCGAACCGAAAGAATTGGAAGCCACAGTCTAGAGTAGGGCATCCTACAATTGGAAAAGATTAGTGTGCTTGGTGCAAGGAGACTGGTCATTGGAAGAAAGACTGCCCGAAGCTCGACGAATGGATGAAGAATAAGCAGAAGGGAAAAGGGAAGCAACCATCATCAGAAGCAAACATCGTATCGGATGGTAATAATTCTGACTCTTCTATTTATTTGCTTTCTATCAGTCCTACAGATAGCTATTCGGAGGAATCTGAATGGATGTTGGATAGTGGTGCGACCTATCATGTGTGCCCTAAAAGGGAATGGTTCTCTAGTTTTGAGAAGCTGATGGATAGTGGTGTGGTGTACATGGCTGATAACCGTGCATGTCAGATCCTTGGGATAGGAAGAATTCGCATAAAGATGTTTGACGGGACTGTTAGAGAGTTAAACGATGTGAGATATGCTCCTTCTTTGAGGAAGAACTTGATCTCGATTGGAGCTTTGGTTGGAGAGGGTCTGAAGGTTCGTGTTGAGGACATGGTTCTCGAGATTGTGAAAGACTCTCGGATTGTGATGAAGGGCGTCAGGAGGAATAACCTGTATTACTTGACTGGAGGTATAGTGGCACGTGGAGAACTGACGACTTCTGTTGATTCGACTAGACTGCGACATTTGGGGCTTGACCATTCCAGTATTGATTCCTCGCATAGATTGAAAGAGGGTGTAAAGACCTGCAGTTTGAAGTCCAGTGAACATGTTGATGTGAGCAAGAAGACCGAGGTGAAGTTTGGCACCTCTATTCACCGTGCTAAGGGTCGTTCTAGAGGAGTTCACGTGGATGTTTAGGGGCCTTCCAAGGGGGCATCATTGGGAGGTAATAGACGTTCGGTTTCCTTTGTTGGTGACTGTTCTAGACGTGTTTGGGTTGCAACTAAATCCCTTTCCGAGACGTGTCTAGGGAGAATTCGCATTAAGATGTTTGACGAGACTGTTAGGGAGTTATATGATGTGAGATATGTTCCTTCCTTGAGGAAAAACTTGATCTCGATTGGAGCTTTGGTTGGAGAGGGTCTGAAGGTTCGTGTTGAGGACATGGTTCTCGAGATCGTGGAAGACTCTCAGATTGTGATGAAGGGCGTCAGGAGGAATAACATGTATTACTTGACTGGATATATAGTGACAGGTGGAGAGCTGGCGACTTCTGTTGATTCGACTAGACTGCGGCATTTGGGGCTTGGTCATTCTAGTATTGATTCCTTGCATAGATTGAAAGAGGGTATGAAGACCTGCAGTTTGATGTCCAGTGAACATGTTGATGTGGGCAAGAAGACCGAGGTGAAGTTTGGCACCTCTATTCACCGTGCTAAGGGTCATTCTAGAGGAGTTCACGTGGATGTTTGGGGCCTTCCAAGGGGGCATCATTGGGAGGTAATAGGCATTTGGTTTCCTTTGTTGGTGGCTGTTCTAAGCGTGATTGGGTTGCAACCAAATCCCAATTAGAGAAATTCCTAGTAGTCTCTAACAAATTGAAGAAGTGTGTGATAGACGAAAAGGTGAAGGTACTTCATTCTGATTTTGGTGGGAGGTACATGATGGACCTATTTCTGTATTGGACCCGAGCTCACGGCATTTTGATTCGTTGGAAAGAAAATCTTGGGGCAACTAGATAGGGTGGCAAATTTAGAGAACTGTGCCTTGCTGGAGGATGATCGATGTTCGTTGTCAAGCAATGGTCTGCAGAAGAGTTTCTGGACTGAGGCTTCGACATATTCGAGTCATCTTATTAAAGAGTTGTCAACTGCTATGATAGGAGGTAAAACTCAATTGGGTGTTTGGTCTGGTAGTGTCACTTCGGTTGAGGCTTCGATGAGGGAGTTAATTGACTCTCAGCAGGTGGAGAGTTTTGGACAGACCTTAGATGTATCGCAGCGGGTGGAGAGTGATGCTACTTCACATTGGGTGAAGATTACTCCACATACTCTAGATCATACTGCATCGTTTGGGATTCTAACTGAAGTGACATGGTTTGGGGATCTTTTGGATTTGGATGCAGATGATGGATTGTTTTTGGATTCGGTTGCAACTGGTGGACATGATTTGGATACGGCTATTGGTTCACCTCAGATGGAGGTGTTTGATTTGTTTCAGTTTGGGGCCATTAGGAGCGCTATCAGTTACAGATCCGTTGGTGATATTAGAGAAGAGTTGCAGACTTTTCTATTTGTTTAAGGGCCTTTGGAGGCCATTGGGTAAACTACGTGAAAGTTTGATTCCTTGGGCAAGAGGATACGTAGGCAATCATTTATGATGCAGCCGGTTTGGTGAGTTGATACCGACATTTGGAGTTTGTTCACATTCTCGTTTGGGTTCTCGACTTGTTATGGATTGAGTCTGTTACCGTGAATTGTTTCACTTCGTACTAGACACAACAAGTGAGACATTTTGGTTTAGTTGATGTCGGCTCAGTTTTGAGAAAACTTCACCGAGGTGGAGAATTGTGAATGCGTGAAATGATAAGGACAAGACGACATGGGGCTGTGAATGAACGAAGACGTGACGTGACTCATGGGGGCCACGAATTTTGTGTGAATGACGTGTTTTCTCAACTCGTGATGAGATCACGTTGAGGAGCACGTGAACAGCAGCGAGATTTTGACAGGCCCACCCGAATGTCATTTGATGCTATATATAGCGTGTTCTTTCTAGGGATTCGTGTGCAAGAGGAGAAATAAAACTACAGACGGCTTCTTTGGCTTCGAGCGGAGTGAAAGGAGAATTTGGTTTTCGGCTGTGAGTTTCTTTTCGGCAGAGAAGAAAAGAGGCGGCTTTTGTGAGAGTTTTGTGTAGTCTCTCATGCTGATTTTGTGAGAGGAATTGAGAGATTAGATTGAGGGTTTATTTGTGAGATCTTGAGTTGTTGTAAACTTATTTGTATTCCCTTTCCCTCTAATTGTAGATCCTCCCTCCTTGCCCCGTGGACGTAGGTAATTTGCCAAACCACGTAAAACTTGTGTGATTTGCTGTTTGTGGCCATTGTAATAGTTTATTAGGTTCCATCGACAAGTCAGTCCTAAAACTGATAAGAGGAAGAGCTGATTTCTCACTCTGTTGAGATATTCGCTTCAGATTCTTGTTTCCTTGGTGAGACGGGAATTCTTATCGATCTTTCTCTCTTATTGTGCACCAGAAACTCTGCCGAAATTTCCGCTGCGCACAACATATTCATATTTGTCAGAATACGAATATGTTTGTTAAAACATCTAACCAATAGTACACGATTATGGATATGGTTATGTACTGAAATATTCAGATCCATATCCAAAATATCCGAATATATATTGGTCATACTGTTGAAATAGCTTCTATCCTTAAATTAACGAATTTGAGGTTAATTTTGATGATCAAAATATTTAAACTTGGCTTTTCAAAACCATATTAATGAACTCTCCTGTACCATATAAACTGTATTTTTTTTTTAAATATTATCTAGTTTTCTCATATCCGTTTTGTATCCGGTTATATGTCTGCAAGCATTTATCCATGTCTGCATTCAATTTTAGCTGGCATAGATGTGAATTTTCCTTACTCAGGCATATCCATATTCGTATCCGTGATTAGTAAGCGGATATGGATACGATAAACATCGTATCCGAGTCATATCCATTTGCTTTTGAAATGACATGAAAAAAAAATATGAAATCTAGTTTGTAAATCTTTAATTGCAGATGTGAAGCTGTACCTAAGGAAATGTTGAAATCAAACAGGCCTTTAACCGCAACTTGTAATCAAACAGATCTTAAGCGAAAACTTCGGAATTAAGTGGAATTAATTGGCCGCAAGAAATTTCTTTCTACTTCCCTAGATTGTCCTCTGTTATGCTATTTATCCTTAGTGTGGGCCAACACACGTTAATTGTTTTTTGGAATATTGAGGAGACTCGAAGTCCCTGCAAACGTCAAGCGGAAGCCTTGAGTAAACGGTGGCGGCTTTGAATGGTTGCATAGTGGAGAGTTCTTCACGAACCGCAAGTTTTTTGGGCACCGACGTCCATGGGTGCTCCGAGGATTCCAACTCTCTTTCTTCAGTTCCTACTCGTCCGCTTCATGTCGTTTGGATCCCACACCTCATTTGCAAGCGATTTCATCTCTTCCGACCGACCCCTGTCACAAGACCAGACCATAACCTCTAAGGGGGACAAATTCGTGCTCGACGTCGACAGTGGTCTTATTCGTATTTATCGCGGAAATGACTATTGTGAGGGGTGTCAAGTTTGGGCATCAAACAGCGAAACACCAGTCTACGTTGCACCTGAGCTCAGAATCAGTGATGACGGCAACCTAGTCCTTTTAGATCAATCCAACCTACAGCAAGTTTGGTCTACAAATATAGAATCAACTGCCTCTAATTCCACAGTTGCTGTGCTTCTAGACTCAGGTAACCTTGTTCTTAGAGACGGGTCGGATCCGAGTAAGATATTTTGGCAGAGCTGTGATCACCCAACCGATACTTGGCTTCCTGGTTGCTACTTGGGTTTTAATAAGGTCACAGGGGAGAACCGTCGCCTCACTTCTAGCGGCGATGAGTCTTCTCCTGGAGTGTTTTCCCTTGAGGTAGACGCTGGCCAGCTTCTCATAAAGTCGAATGAGTCTAAGAAGTATTGGTCTGGTGGGAACTTGACTGATGGCGTGCTTAGCTCCGCGCCAAATTTCAGCCGGTTTGCCGAATTTGAGTACATTTCTAATGAAACAGTGAATTATTTTACCTATTCGTTGAGATATAGCCAGACCTTTGGGGTGTTTAGATTGGACAATTCAGGAGTAATGGAGCAAATTCTCCTAGCTGATGATCCTGTGGCATTGAGTCCGTCCTCCGATCCACCAGATCAGTGTGGTAATCCGGCCTTTTGTGTGGGTTCTGCAGAGATGAAGAAGTCCAACAACATGAGCAGAGTCGTTACTTTTGTTATTCTTGGTTCAGTTTTAGGTTCCATAGTTTCTTTAGTTGTTATTTTCAAAATGGTCTGGATATGGAAAAAGCGAGGTAGGATGCACAAGATGAAGTCGGACAATGGTACTCTTGTGGCATTGAGATATAGAAAGCTGAAAGAAATGACCAATGACTTCTCTGAGAGACTAGGTGGCGGTGGCTTCGGTTCTGTTTTTAAAGGGATGCTACCTGATTCCACAATTGTCGCTGTAAAGAAGCTCAAAGGTGTTCTTCAAGGAGAGAAGCAGTTCCGAAGCGAGGTGAGCACAATTGGAGTGATACAACATGTTAACTTGGTCCGTCTTCTTGGATTTTGCTCAGAAGGCACTAACAAATTGTTGGTTTACGAGTACATGCCGAATGGTTCTTTAGACTTCCACTTGTTTCGTAACACTGATGCTGTTCTTGACTGGGGGATAAGGTACAAAATTGCCCTTGGAACTGCTAGAGGGCTATCTTATCTCCATGAAGAATGTAGGGACTGCATCATTCACTGTGACATTAAGCCAGAGAACATACTGTTGGATGCATTATTCGTACCAAAAGTAGCTGATTTTGGTCTGGCGAAGAATGTCAACCGCAACTTCAACAGTGTATTGACTACACTGAGGGGAACTATTGGCTATCTTGCTCCCGAATGGTTATCAGGAGGTTCTATAACTGCGAAAGCTGATGTGTACAGTTACGGGATGTTGCTACTTGAAATCATATCTGGTAGGAGAAACACGCAGCGATCTGAAGACGGATATTATTTCCCTGTATTGGCAGCAAACAAAGTTGTGGAAGGGGATGTCCTTAGCATTCTGGATCCTAGACTTGAGGGAAATGCTAACTTGGAAGAGCTTGACAGAGCCTCTCAGGTTGCTTGTTGGTGCATTCAGGACAATGAGTTCGACAGGCTTTCAATGGGAGAGGTGGTTCAAATTCTAGAAGGTGTTGTTGAGGTTAACAGGCCTCCTATACCAAAGCTGCTTCAAGCTTTAGCTGAGAATATAGAAAGCATAATTTACTTCTCAGATGGCAAAGAAGAGCACTTTGACGAGGACATATCTGCCAGACCTCTATAATTTCAAGTGATGGATGATCTGTGTGCTTTTTTCTCTATTTTCACTCATGTAAGTTAGTAAGTCTCATACTTTCTGTTGTGTCATAAAACAACTGTCAGTTTCTCCACTACTGTTTCGGAGGTTATTGCTATGCAAAAATATCCAAAAACAGTTGTAACTTCAAATAAAATGATTCTCAATTTTTACTAGTCAAGTAGGTTTATAACTAAACATAAGAGCTTCTCTCGTCTCATATATGTTTATCCAAATATATTATTTTTCGTAGATTATGCTGTTATCTAAAATCATTTAGATTTATAAATCTGTCTAAGAAAATGTCTGATAGGTAGCATGTCTAACCTTCGCATGATTAACAATATGATTTTGATTGTTATTGTTTACACTGATGTGTGTTTTGTATGGACTGCTTTTATAACTGATTACATTGGATTATTGTTTCCACCGTAAGTATTGTTTATGCTGACGTAAAATTGATAACAAGGTGAGTATAACTTCAATCTTTCTTTCTATATGATTTTGTATAATGTGTTCTCTATTTCCCTTGATTTTGGTATGAAGGGGGCCCACATGGAAGAAAGTCAGTAGCCTCTGAATTAGGTTCAATAAAAAAACTGAAGAACACAGGTTGAAGAGATAATGGAAAACTATTGCTGGTTTGGTAAATATTACGATAAACTGTAGGGAGTTCTCCTGTACTCAAGGATGCAATGGTAAATTCTATCGTGTCATCTAATTACCCACAATTGCATAAAACTCCCATTGTTTTATTTGTTCTGTGCACGATGTACATTTCTCTACATGAGCAGAATCTTAGCATCTCAAGAATTAAAACTGCAAACAATCATGCACGCCAAGATTACATACATTGAATCAGGCAGTCCTTTATGCTAATGTAGTGTTCTTGACGTACATTATTCATTCATGTAATCAGATTTCATACTCTGCGCCCTAATTTACTTACAAGGTAGGTTTTTAAATGCAAGATTTTTTTTACATCTTATCTTGGTAAATCATTTATACTTTGGTAAAATACACTGATCTCTGGATAAGTAGTGTGATTATGAATGTCGAGCTTTATGAAAGGGTCTGATCCTATGATACATTTCTATACAACGAGACGGTAACCATTCGAGGCGTAAATCTTCTTCTTCCTCGTTTTCAACTTCGCTTTTGAGCAAACACCGATTTCTCTTCATGAGCAGAATCTTAGCATCTCAACAATTGCATAAAACTCCCATTATTCGTCAAATCATAATTTGTCAAATCATAATTCCTAGGATCAGGTCTCACGCACAGGTAATCAAAGTTGTCAATGTTTATTTACTATTTGTTCTTCTTTCTATTGTCATTATCGACCAACTTGAAATATTAAACTAACAGTTTTATTTTTTATTTTTTTTCCTTTTTCCTCTCGTAGCTTGTTAGCATGGCCGGATGACCCCCCTTCAGCTTTATGAAGAATGCAGTGCCTGAATGTCCTCGACCAAGAAGAGCGTGCTAAAGCGATCGAGAGACTGAAAGAAGCTCGACAACAACAATCGGTTCGTGTAACTGCTTAGGATCGATATGTTTGGACTGCGGGTCCTTCGGCTAAGAAAAGAAAACTTACAATAGTTTCTCATGATGTAAAAACAAAAAATTGATTCTTGCAACTAGCTTAGGATGTTTGGGTTGCAGGTCGCTAGAAAAAAAAGAAAGATACGCACAATAGTTTCTCATAGTGTGCGAGTTGAACTGAAAAAAAAAATCTCCTGCGCTTGCTTTCTGAATAAAGAAGTTTTATGAACTTTTGCGTGTATGTTTAATTTGTAGAAGTTTTTGTTTAATTAGTCAGATTGTTAATTACTTGTTATAAACTGGTGATTAAGTCACAAGACAAGAGCCGCTTTGTTCCTCCATGAATTGATCTCCAACCTTACAATCCAGTTGTAGAATCACCTCAATCAAGAGCAAAAGGGTCCAAAATCTTGAAGATGATATTAAATATTGAACAGATCAATGAAGATGAGCTTCTTCAATAGTCCTAGTTTTCTCGCCCGCTTTATTTCCTTTCTGCCGCTCCAAGATCTAGAATGAGATAAATAGAATAAATAAACCCCTGAGTCGTATCCAACTTGAGTCCTCATACAACTATAAAATAAGGTGAATTGACAAGTGAAAATGAAAACTTCACGGATTTTGTCCAACGTGGGTTTTGTAAAATGCTACCCATACGTTGATAAGTAAGGATTCGATCAGAACACAATTTCTTGATGGTAGAGGATCGGTTTAGAAATTGCAACTTCTTTATTGATGGTGTAGTTTAACCCGCTCCTACGGGGACGGTTCTGATAGGATCCCTATTACACATAAACTTCTGCAGGACCAAGCTTTCCTTTATATACAGCTGGCTACGAGAAAGCGAATGAATCTGTTCTCCATTATTTGGCGGAATGAGATGACATTTCTTTATCCAGTTCTTGATGCAATCCAATATCTTAATAGTCTGAGATAAATGAAGGTAGTCCAGAGTTGTTATCTTATTTAAGAAAAGCTTAGCCTTACGCTGATGCCTTTCATCCTTCCTATTGTTGGATGAACCAACGTTGTGCAAATGAAACCATGCCATCCCCATTGCACCAAAATTTAAATAGAAAGCAGAAAAACTGCTAAGCAAGAAAAAATATCAGCAAACAAATAACTACTTTAGTTCACAGAGTTGAAATCAAAGAAATAGAGATTCACACCCAAAAATAGCAGTCTACGAGAAATATCGAAGAACTAAAAAACTGATATTTATGCCATGCTTAGAATTTAACCACTAGGCATATCTCAATAGCACTACAATTTAGATGGGGGGAAATGGCGTCTGTTTCTCGATAAATGTTAAAAGTGTATGAGTCTGCTCTTAACAAATGCTAAAGGATTGTTGTGATGAAGATCATGAATATTAGCAATTTCCACCATAGAAGTCTCTCTGAAGAAGACAAACTCGTAATATGATGTTTTTGCTCCCTGTAATTTGGTTAAAATAAATAAATAAATAATCGAGGAAGAAGAATTATAATCTGGCTGAAGGAATTAGTTTTTATGGTATTTACTTACTTCTGATACTTTTGGAGGAGACCACAGTACAATGCATTGTCTGGTAGAGGCAACTCGGTTTTATTAGTATTTTCAGGATTCACGACTCTCATATATGTCTCCTGCCCAAGATACCATGTGTCAAGATTTTCTGCGCGTAGATTCCATATACCGACATTGTCTAATGAGACTAAAACTGCAGTCCATGCTCCAGGGTATACCTGATCAAATACATAATAAAAGAATATAGTCTAGTCTCAGTATACAGTACCTAACTAAATAAAAATATGATCATCTACATTATACAGTACCTAACTAGATAAAAATATGATCATTTAGGAATATCAAATGTTAATCTACTGATAATTTAAAACAACAGAGGGAGCATTATCACAAGAATTGACTCTTATGCATAGATATACAGAATTCTTAATTATAAAAAAGGATAATTACACATAACTCCCTCATCTATACCTTCAGTTGCAGTAAACAACCTCAACTTACTTGCGCTTAACCCCCATTAATTCATGAGGAAGAGGGGTGATATTTGAAATTAATTTCTAGAAATGCAGCGGGGGGTGGGGGGTGGGGGGGTAAGCACTAGTAAATGAATGAAGGGTGTTGGGTGGGTTGGGGGGGGGTTAAGGCACTAGTAAATGAGATGAAGGGTGTTGGGTGGGTGGGGTGGGGGGGGGTAAGCACTATAAATGAGATGAAGGGTGTTAAATGCAACTGATCTGAACGCATAGATGAGAGCGGTTATGTGCAACTTACCTTTAAGAAAAATCTCAGCTTCATAATCCTTCTTTTTATCCCAAATAGGAATTGATATTTGAGTCACTATACAACATATATATGAACATTATGGGAATCCCAAATCAAATACACTCACAATGATGAATGTGTTGTCAGGCACCGAAACCAGCAGCCCACATTTTTGACCAAAAGCAAAAGAGTGGGCCCCACTTTTGAAAAATGCACTGGGTTAGGCACCGAGTTTGGAAATTTCAAAAGATGCACAGTGTAATATTAATATTTTATTATGCATAGTGTTTTTTTCCAAACACTATAAATAGGCTCCAAATCCTTAAGGAAAAACTCATCCCAGAAACAACTTCTCTTATAGAAGAGTGAGAGAGAGTATCTCCTTGTAAAGAGAGATTGTAACTCCAGAGTTTTCTCCTCATAGTGGATTCTTCTATCCTTGCCTGTGGACGTAGGCAATCAAGTGCCGAACCATGTAAATCTGTGTGTCCAATTTTTTATCTCTACTTTTGCTCTACTATTGTTGCGATCATGCTCTATTAGGCCCCGGGTTTGTCCCAACAAGTGTTAAACATATCATGTCAGTAAACATTTCAAGATGTTCCCAAAGAAAATACTGCTTAAGCTTTGAAAGGGTAAAATTTCAATGATGAAGGAGAGAAAAGCTCAGGACACGTACCTGGGTTGTGCAACGAGCAACTGCATCCCATTTATTATATGTTCCTCTACTCTCCTCCGTCCATTCCCCATAATTCATCCTGAATTACATTTGAATTTTACCGTTCTTTAACTTAAAAACACAGCTACATGATTAAAAGGAATGTGAATGTGGAATTATGTACATACCCAACAACAAAAAATGCATGTCCATCCAAATGGTAAGTCTGAACATTAGTCCCATTGTTCTGAAATATAATTTCCATAAATCCCTTGTATGAAGCATTCATTAGAGAAGTTCCAAGCTTTGGTGGCTCATCAAGTGGTTTTGTGGGGAAATCGAGTGTGTACACTCCCTTAAGGTTATACTGATCAGCGAGTCTTAGCGGTGTACTAGGCGGGGAATACGAAATCCCATTGAGAGTGGCTCTTTGTTTTCCGTTAATAGTAACTAGTGGTTTATTTTCTAACATGTAGACTTGTGTCACGTTGATTGAACCGTATCTGAAAGATCCTTGAGGATTTGGGCGTGCAGCAGAAGCACTCACATTCCACCTGACAAATAACAAGCAGATCTCTCAGAATAAAAAATTTATATAAAAAAAGGATTACAAAAAATTGTCTGCATCTATACTCTGGTTTTCAAGAAAACCTCTCAGAATAAAGAAAACCTGTCATCTATACCCTGGCCATCGCAAGATCTCCTTATTTTAGCCTCTATTGGATAGAATCAATGACAAATTGCAAGGGTGGAAAACAAAAATTCTTAGTCAGGCGGGCAGAATGATCCTCATAAGACATGCTTTATTCAGTATGCCTCTTAGTCTTCACATTCTGGCTGCCATCTCAGTCCTTTCCACTGTGCTGAAAAAGATTGACAGCTGTTTGCTAAGTTTTTCTGGGGACACTCTGATTTTGGTAGGAAAAAACATTGGCTGAAGTGGCACAAATTATCTTATCCTGTTTCTGAAGGTGGATTGGGTTTCAAAAGGCTCATTGACATAAAATCAGCTTTCCTTCTTAAACAATGCTGGTACCTAGGTTCGCCCTCTTCCATCTGGTCTATCTTCATGCGGTCCAAGTACAAGATATTCCCCTCCCCCTTCTCTGGTCAGCCCCAAAACGGTGTTCTAAAGAATGGAAAGACATTTTAAAGATGAAATACATATTTGCAGACCAATGTGTATGGTCTGTTGGCTGCGGAAACATCTCATTTTTGTATAACAAGTGGATTCCCGAGTTTCATCTTGCTCTCCTATGTGATCACGGGGATAGCAAGGTTAAACTCAAGGATTTCTACCAAGAGGAACAATGGCATTTTGACTCTCTCAGCTCAGTACTCAGCCCTGAAGTGGTGTAACTCCTATATGAGGCTACTCCCAAACTTTCGGAAGATGATGATGTGAGAAGCTGGAAATTAGAAAAGAATGATAAGTTCAATCTCAAATCAGCATCGCATGCTATCAGACCCTCCTCTGTCCCTATAAAAGTTCTGGATGATATTTGGACTACCCCAATGCCAACTTCTGTAAAATTGGTGTGTTGGAAAATTTTTCATAATATCTTGCCTCTTGATTCCCTTGTCCAGCACTCGGGCATATCCTTAGCCTCCAAATGTGTCTGCTGTAGCAACCATCAGACTGAAACCATGAACCACCTTTTCATTCATAGTGAACTTGCCCAATCTCTTTGGAAATTCTTTAGTGCAGTTTTTTCTGTGCCGTTTTTCCCTCAACAATCAATTACCACTAGAATGAAATGGGGGTTTAACAAATGTAAAGGTAGATCACACTTCTCAATGATGGGTAGAGTGGCATGTATTGCTATAGCTAGACAAATTTGGAGTTATAGAAACAACTCTGTTTATGGAGGCATGGAGAAAGATTTCATGCATGCTAGGCTGGCTATTATTGATTCTCTACAGCACGTGGATCATTTAATCTACCCTAAACTCCACTCCTCTCCTTATGGCATTGATTCCTTATTGTTATTGGGTATTAAGCCCAGAGCTCCAGTCCCTAAGAGGCAATTATTTGTGTGGACTCTTCCTGCTCCAAATTCATATGCTTTGAACATTGATGGCTCATGCCGTGACGGAAAATTAGCTGTGGGTGGGATTGTCTGTGACCATAAGGGTGGTTTTGTTTGTGCTTTTGCTGGGTCGTTGGGATCTGGTAGTAGCTTGCAGAGTGATACTGTCGCCTTGTCCACCAGTGCAAATATGATTTCTGTGATGGGTATCCACCCTACCAGTGCTCAGACTGATTCCAAAGCACTTGCTAGTTTGATTGGTAAGGGTAGCCCATATTGACAGTTGCACTGCACATGGGATGATCTGCACCGTCTATTAAATCATATCCCTGTCTGTCATGTATGTAGGATCGTTGGGCACCATTTTCTCTCTATTTTGTAATGATATTGTCCTCTTCGGGCCAAATCCTCACGGTTTTGCTCTTGGGTTTCACCCCAAAAGGCCTCATACCAAACCCCAAAAGGCCTCATACCAATTAGAGACTTGCCCATCCTTACAAACTCTAAGCCCTTCTCATATTTAGTCGATGTGGGACTTTGATTTGTCCACTCAACAATCCTCCCCTCAAACAAAGTCCTACCGAGCATCCCCTTAAATGATCATCCATTCGTCCTCTCCTACACCGGGAAGACCAGTTTCATCGAGTCCAACAACCTCGTGAACCTTTTTCCTCTATCCAGGTCATCTCCTCTTCACCGGGAGCACACCGCCTGTCCAATAGAGCTCAACCATGATCTCTTTAATCGGGGGCTCACCACTTTTGTTTAGGGCTAACTCCGGGATCTTGGTTCTGATACCACTTGTAGGATCGTTGGGCACCATTTACTCTCTATTTTGATATGATATTGTCCGCTTTGGGCCAAGCCCTCACGGTTTTGCTCTTGGGTTTCACCCCAAAAGACCTTATACCAATTAGAGACTTTCCCATCCTTATAAACTCCAAGCCCTCCTCATATTTAGTCGATGTGGGACTTTGGTTTATCCACTCAACAATGTATTCCGCGAAGGTAATGGGGTTGCCGATGCTTTGTCTAAGTTTGGGCATTCCCTTGATAAAGTACACTATTTTTTTCCAAGACCAAGAACTTCCTCGTGATATTCTGAAGATCATAAGGTTGGATCGGATGGGTGTATCTACATTGAGATGCCACTCTACTCATTGAGCTGTCTCGGAGGTATTAGTGATGTTCTTGTGTATTTTGTTATGAAGTAGATAGATTTTTGTATTTTGTTCAGAGGTCATACAAGTTCTCGCCCATATTTCTGCTTTATCTCATGTACAAAGTGAGGAATGTCTCATTCTTTTGGAGCTCCTGGGGTTAAGTACGAGTCATGCTACCCATGAGAGGCTTTTGCTTGTAATCTTTTAAATTTCCCATAATATGCTATGGGTTATGAGCAAAAAAAACCTGTTAGTTTTGTAATGAAGTTTGGTTCTTCAAACGTATGCACACACATTTACACGCAGAATTGTAGTAAATACTATAAAGCTTGACCTGTTTTATCTAGTAACTATCTTATTTATTTGTTCTTTCCCTTTCAACTGCCAAGATCTATGGATTCGGAAGTGCAGATGGCTCTTCTACCATCTGCTAAGATGTTTGAAGAACATAACTCCCTATTAATGGTGTTACTAACGGTCATAGATGAAGCCTTTTTTTTTAACTTTTTATATGAGGAATACAAATAGTCTCTTTGGAAATACAAAAATGTCGCTAATAATGAAAGATTACCTGATAGATTTTGCTTGGTCCATGGAGTAACCTTTGTAATAAAGGTCATTTGGAGGATCAGGTAAAGGACCATAGGCCTTGCCTCTGGAATTTGAATAATGCAATATGGCAACACCAGTATCCCTTGCCCAAATAGACTCGTTCACAAATCTAGCACTTGCGACGATGTAGTAATCACCACTTGCATTCTGATCCATAGTAATCAAGAAAGAATATGACTGACCAACATGAATGTCTAAGTCCGTGTAGTTCTGTTGTATGGTATATGAGCCTTCAGTCTCCACAAGGCGCAAGTTATGTGACTGAATTCTGAAGTTGAGGCTCGTAAATGTTCCAACATTGTGTACCCGAAATCGGTATGTCTTACCTGTTTCAAAGGCAAAAAATTCAGTTGCCATGAAATAGTTTCTTCACTATGAAGACTTTAGGTCTTTTTGTATATATACCACTTAACTAATGTGTAATTGCCAAACTACTCCAAATCATCAACTTTTGATAATTGCAAACTACCTCAAATCATCATAGGGAACTTTTTCATGATGACTTTTAGATGAACTATTTAGTTATCAAGAGATATTTGGGTTTGATGTAGTTTACATCCAATATTTCTTGCCTTACCAAACTGAACTGATGGATATATATAGTCTTCACGTTACATCAATACCTTACCATGTGGAATGTTCTCTAGTCTGTAAAAACATATTTCCTATCATGAGTAATCATATGCATCTTCTCTCATCTTGGCAGTATCATATTTTTCCGTCGAAAATGCTAAAAGATCATGGATTGTTTTGTATATATACCCCTTAAATCATGTATATTTGTAATAAAAAAAGGCCCCATTGGAAATCAACTTTGGAAAAAAAAATCCCTCCCCCAATTAACAATCATCTATTTTGATAGACTGACTTGTAACTGCAATGCAATTATCAAAAAGTTATTCATTAATCATAGGAAACGTATTCACCTGGCTCGACATTGATAGTTTCATACTCAATACCCGCAGGAACAAGCGAGGAATTATATTGGTAAGGCCCCTTCCCGTTGATCAACACACCATCAGGCATCCCAAGCTCCTTTCCCTCATCAAGCTCCTTCTTCAAATCCTAGACAAACTCAAAACAAACAATATCAGACACTCATAAGAAAGGGTAAATTTCACCAATCCCCCTTTATGTTTGATCAAATTTGAGATAACCCGCTACACTTGAAAAATGTCAATGAACCCCCCTTAAGTTTGGGCTGTTTCTGGAAACCCCAAAATGTTTTCAGTTTTTTCAACTAGCCCTACACAACGATGTTAGATAAATTTGTAAAAATATCAACATACCCATTTCAAATTATCACTCTAATTATTATATTAAATTAACTAATAAGGTGCATTTAGGTCAAAATTGGACCAAACATAAGTGGGTTTTCTGAAATTCACCTTTAAAATTATCAAAAATGGACATGCTAGGGGTATCAGGGGAATTTTGGTCATTTGGACACACGTGATTTTCATGTGCAAAGTTAGATCTGACGGTGTTAGTTGGGGGGTTTGTCTAACAAAAGTTAAGGGAGTTAAGGGAGCTTAAGTGACATTTCTAAAGTTTAGGAGGGTCATCTCAAAGACAGCCAAACTTAAGCAGGGTTTTGTGAAATTTTCTCTAAAACATGCACATCAATTATTATCATAATAGATTACACCTTGTGGTTCTTATTAAACCAGTCTCCGATGAAAAGGGTGATGTCTCCGTCAGGCTTCTCAAATGGCAAGGGAACAACCTCGCGGTTATTTACAATGATTCCACCGTAACCTCCATCTGCTCGGTGCAAGTTAAGAGAGGGGAAGTAGAAAAAGCTTCCGATCTGATCTTTTACTTGAAACCGATATGTCCAATTCCAACCAGAAGGAATGGGACAATTCGTTCCCAGGACACCATCTTGCCAAGAGTTGCGTCGGTGTTGGATACCATCCCTGTGTAACATGGAGGATATGTGTATAAGCTAAAAATGTTGGAAAAAAGTAAGGAGCTAGAATTCATTAGTATCGGCATTTGAATTAGGAATTTTACCATGTAACTAGTAGAGGCTCATCCAAGTTGTTTTGAATGTTGGCGACAACATTCCAGTTGGTGGTCACGTTGACAATAGGGCCTGGGAACTGGCCATTGATTGCTATCACCTGCGATCAACATAGTCACCAAGCAACTTTAACATGAACAATGGCCATGGCATGTCAAGCTTTTTTTATTTAACTTCTGCAAAGAAATATTTAAGGTTGAGTAAAGCAACCTTAAACGTGAAGAAATTACAGGACATAATCAGATGTCACACAAGAAAATAAGAAACATTAGCCAAAATCTGAAAAGACAATAAAGAGTGGTCATGTTTATATTATTGTTTATGTTAACCAAAGTTCACTATAATCAGTACTATATGGGACCATCACAATAACTAGCATAAGCAACAAAAGATATCATCTTTTGTTGATTATCTACAAATTCATTCAAAATCACCCTCTCTCTGGTCTGGAAAATAATTGTAAAGGCCGGGAATTCCATTATTATGCAAAAGGCTAAATTGTAGAATATCACCATCTAGCAGCAACAACAACTGCCTGCACCCTCTGTTAATTAAACGGGAACTTTTTTCTGTGAAATAATTAATATCTCAACTCTGGTGAGTTCTCTGTAATTTTACCAGATTTTTTTTTTTTTTTTTTTTTGAGGTTTTAAAGATATAAACAAGGTAAAGCAATTTTATTTTATTTTTATGTCCATACATTAGCCTACGTTAATCAAAGAAAAGTGGGGGAAAAGAGAGTAAGAAAACAAAACACTGCCCAAAGCCAATATCCTCCACAAGACTATTTAACAAGCTACCATCTTTCATAAACTACTTTGCACCAAGATTATCCTTTTTTCCACTTTGTTTATAATAAAAATAAAAAAAATAGACAGCACGTTAATTTTTCAATAAACTATCAAAAAAATTCTCCGAAATAATTAATCCTAAAATTCTGATGAGATCTTTGTAAATTTACCCAGGTAAAAAAAAAATTATCTCCAAAACAGAGCTTATAATTTAGAATTTAAAGATACAAAAAGATTTCCAGAGTCCAATAGCGCACATTAAAGCCTAATTTAAAAAAAATAGTGAAAATGCAGTAAAAAAATATCCCAGAACTGACATATTCCGCAAAATTTGTTAGCAAACTAAAAGCTTTCATAATTGATCAACACCAAGATTCAATTTTTATGTTATTAAAATAACCAAAATATAATCTTTTAGCCAAAGTAACAGACCTGCTTGCTGACGCCGAGAGGGGCAACGGTGACGTAGGACACGACCCAGTCGAAGTATGCCGTCGGGTCACCGGCCGAG